AGGCTGAAATGACAGTCAAAGACTGGGCAATGGGTCAGTCCTCAGAAGCCTCTGGTTAGTTGATCCACCTGACGAGGCAGGGAGCAATCATGTCAGCTTCCAGGAAGTCCAGATTTCAGTTTGTAGTCCATAGCTGATCCCAGAATATAGGCAACCAGGTGAAAATCTGCTGAGACAAATTCAGACTGGAGACCGAAGTTAAAATTTGTCTATTAGATGGGAAAAGTGGGGAATCCCAAGACCAGGGGAAAACTCATCTGGGATCCATTTGAGCTATGCCAGATCCAGGTCTTGTGACTTTTTGGTTTCCTGAAACTCATATGAATCTTTAGTTTACAAAAGGAAATATATTTTAAAAACTCAGAAAAGTAACATATCAGCAAATTTAATGTGACAACATTCTGAGAGTAACAAGTAAAACTACAGTCAACAGAATGAGCATCAGTTTTACTCAGCTGTTTGTTTTATAACCTTTATAAACAACTTAAGTGTGTACATGGTCTGGAACTCTAACACTTTTTTTGTGAGCACAGCTGTTGGTAATCACCCACCATATGGAGCTTGGCCATTTTTCGTACACTTAGCATCTACTTTTAGCTCCCACCTCCATGTGATACTGGAAAGTTAGGCAGAAATACATTAATGGCTTTACAGCTAAACCCTGGATGCTTGGATTTTCCTTGAGAAAGCAACTAGAAGGAATAGGTTTACGATATTCCTAAATCCTGTCTGCCTCAGAAATGGCAGATATTAAGAATACTATAGTAAAGGCTACGGCTTTTGGGTCAGATATACATATTAAATAGATGTTTTTAACATGACCTTTAAGTCTATCTCCAGAAGACAACCAAAGGAAATTAAAATCTCAAGCTGGTGACTGAATAATAAGCAGTCAGTGCTCCATCAACTTATCAGAACTCTATTGATCAATGCCAAAACTTTGAGTTTTTGAAATCTTATATCATAAGCACAACAGTAGCAAAAAGGGGGAGAAATCTAAATTATCTCCCACTTTCAATATGCCTTAAATCATTTTTTAAATCTTTATAACTCATATTCATATGCCTTAAACCACCTACTTAGACTCCAATTTTTTTTGCATTTATCAACCCTGAAACATTTTCCCAGACCAAACAATACTCTCTAAATTTTTACAACCTAAACTCCTATATCCTCAGACCCTACATAAACTTCATTACCTTTTTTTTTATCCAGCTATTTATCTTAAGACACAGGCAACAAACTTGAATCCTGTGAGCAAAGCAAAGCTGTTTGTCTTTCTAAACAAGAGATCTAGTACCTAGTAGTTCTAACTAGTTAATGAACTGATCAATGGGCTAACAGTGGATCTAATTGTCTGCTCTTTAGCTGCAAAGTTACCATAAGCTTAGCCATCAATGTGATCAGAGACCTGAGAAGGATAAATTATAAGCTAAATAAATGTACCAATCCATGTACCAATCAAAATGACAGAGATGACTGTTGGTCCATCACCTAGGCAGTGTCTCTGCCTCCTGTGGTCTCATGGCATCATGAGCAGAGGCAGTCCAGCCGTAAGGCATGGAAGATGAGAGACTGCTTCTGTGGAAAAAAGGAACATGAGAGATTGACCTCATCTTGACTCTCACAATGTGAAACAATGGCTCTTCAGGTGTCCATGGCTTTGTCCACAGGTTAAGCTGGGCCCTAGCAGTGGGCCAGTTGAGGCAGTATTGCTCAGTGGTTAGCATACCACAATCCAGAGTCACAGTCAGTTGCTGTTGTGTCCAAATCTTCTTGGAGACCTTGGGGGAGCTACTGCCAGTATTTTGGGACTCTCTGTCACAATAAGCTTACACATGTTAAAATGCCATATTCATCAGATCTCTGACAAGCTTGAGGGCCAGCATATCTGAGTTACTCTTTGTCTATTTTCATCATCTGCTCTAAGCTGCATCGTATAAAACAGAATGTTATACTCTCTAATTCTGGTATATTCCTAAGATGTATGTTTTAGAACTATATTTTAAGTAGATCTACATAGGCAAACTTTATAATTACTCATCCTAGGCTTAAAACAACCTAAAAAGAGACTTGGTAAGGCTCAACATTTTATCCAACTACAGTCATTAGCATAACTTTAAATCTGCTCTTTCTGAACTAAAATCAAAACAAACCTTTTAATCAGATACAGTTCACAGAGAGGCTAGCAAATCTTCCTGATTCTACCATATTGCATTAAAACTGAAAAGCAAAAAGCTTTGCACTTAGCACTAATCAGAGGACTGAACATAACTGAAAGGGCTAAACAAAGATGGTTGCAAACTCATGGCTCCACCCTCTTTATCTCTGAATCAACATGGCGGCTAGCCACGTGTTGCCCAATATAGCTGGAAGACCTAAACAAAGATGGCAGTAAAACCATACTTCCCTCCTCTGGCTTCTAATACATAACTTTTCCTAGCTCCGTTCTTCTGGTTTAACCAGACATTTTTACTTTAGACAAGTTATTTTTTTCTTTAACATCCCAATCTCTTGCTTTTTAAACATAAAAACTTCCATCAAAATCCTTTCTGTCCTGACATGATCCTGCTGGAGCCCAGCATGAGCTTATTTCATAATTTATTTTTTTATACGCAAAGCAAAAACAAGTCATATTAATACAAAAAGAAGTTCTGAAACTGCCAAACTTTTTTTTTTTAATTACTTCCCTGTAGCAGATATGGTCCAAGGTCACATAAACAATCTTTAAGGAACTTGGAACAAGTTTTAAGGAATTAACCAAAACCTTTTTCCCCCAAAGGATTGAGAAACTGTTTCATGTTTTTTTTGTTAGACTGCCCAAGTTCATTATTTAAAATGCCTGATAAACTTTAGCCTTAAACACTTAAACATTTTCTAAAACCTGTTTTTGCAATATCAAAAAAGAAGTACTCCTTTTTCAGGAGAAAGTCACAAAGCATAACCTTAATTTTAAAAGTCAAAATTAGATTTTAGAAGCAAAATTTATCAGTGCAAACAATTCAATAACTGTTCTTACTCGATAACAGAAACCAGAAGGTAGACCCAAACAAATACTGCACAGAGACACTGAGACAAAAAAACACACACCAGCTGGCCAAAAGCAGTCTTGGACAATTTTACTCATGTCTCCATTTTTTCTTTTTTTATAACTCAGAGCACAGGCTGGGCCACTGCTGGTGGAAGCAGGGTGTGTAAGTGGAGTTGGGAGAAACAGGGAGAGTTTCTGGAAGTCCATCCCATAATGTCTGTCAGTCCAAGTCCCGTCTTAAGAAATGAGAGCAGTCGCCACAGATAATAAATCACACTCATAGAAATGAAGGTATGGCCTCTGGCAAAAGTGGACCAAAAACCTGACTTGTACTGGGGCTAATTTCCTGGGACCAAAACTGACTCCTCTGAGACAGGCACAATATCTACCTCGAAGAGGCTAAAACGGATTCCACCTGCTGCTACACCCCCATGGGTGCAGGAGGCATGGGAGATGCTGCCATTGCCGCTGCCTCAGGAGACACTGAGAGAGGGCTGCTGCCCTGGGAGATGCCAAGTGGTGCTCACTGGGACCAGGAAGTCTGGGCCTGTGAGAGCAGGCCTCCTTGGAGCTCAAATTACCTGCCAAAACACTGATGAAGCTAGGGCATCCCCCTGAACTTCAGCAGCTGTGACCACCAGTATATCTGCCTTGATCATGTCTTGCTACCCAGATACTTACACCCCGAGACCCAAGGAATTTCAGAAGAGGACAGAAAGTACGTGCACACACAGACACTTGCCCAGAGACATTTAGATACTTACTGGTGGCATAAAAACCTCCAGGTCAGGTTCCTGGAGTCTTGGGATCCCAGACGAGCCCCCAAAAATGTTGTGCCCAGTTTGCAAACCCCAAAAGACCAGGAATAAATAGACTCCGCTGTAAATACATGAGTTGATTTATTTATTTATTTATTTATTTATTTATTTATTTATTTATTTATTTATTTATTACAAGCTGCAGCTTGGGCTCACACTCCCCACTGCCAAAACAGTGAGAGCTGAGAGCCTCCTGCTCAGCTTAGTTGGGTGATTTAAGGATTCTGGTCCCTCCCAGCATGCCCAAAGCAGGGGCAATTACTGCCTGGCAAGTATCTATTGGTCAAAAGGCAAAAGGAATGTTGCATTTTGAACTGATTGGCTATAAGGAAGGTCCCCAACCATTAATGATCTGGTGTTCCTTCCTAGAAGGATGAGCCAGTTTCCTAGCAACTTTATCTCTAGTGGGCAGGAAAAAAATGCAGGGCATTACTGGACATGTCTCCACCTAGCTAGCCTTCATTCAGGCTTTAAACGTTAAAATAATAGCCACTGATTTTTTAATCTTTTGGTCTCTCAATACCTAACCATGCTACTGTCTTATTGCCAAAACCCCAAACAAAGAAGATCATGAAAAGAACAACAAAAAGTGACTCAAGGCAACAAGATCATGATCAACAGCTGACTACTCATTGAAAACAAAGGGTAGCAGAAGACACTGGGATGGCACGCCACACTCTGACCAAACAACTGCACCAGGAATGTGAAATCTATTACAACCGTCCTTTAAAACTGAAGGTGAATGAAAGACATTCCCAAATAACCAAAGATTGGGAGCATTTGTTGCGAGCCAACCTGCCTTACAACAAATACTAAAGGAAATCCTCTGGATGAAGAGTAATTGTACAAAATAGTGACAAGAAGTTGCAGAAAGAAACAAAGGTCAGTCTAGATCAATATAAAAAGAGTTAAAACTGAGTGAATGTTTTTCCTTTTCTTTAAAGCATATGTTTGCTTAGATTTATAACTAATGATGTGGCTTTGATAGAAAATGATCCCAACTCTGATTTGTTGTATCCACTGCTGATGCTCCAAGGATGTGATTGTATCATGAAGGTGCTACTTTCCTCTATGATCTAATGCATTGAATTCCTACTGACCCAGGCTATTGGGCCTATGTCCTTGAAGTGCTCA